TCGCTCGCCAGCAGAGCTCGCCTAAGCTGAATCACTCGATTGCAAGCACTGAAAGCAGGCACAGGAGAACTACGATGTCGACCACCACCTTTGACGCCTCTGGTTCTTCCACTTTGAAACGTCCTCGACCCGATTTTGAAGTGCTACCCGGCCCGGGTGACCCACCAGGGTCGTCCGCCCACGTCCCAGCGTCCCCAGACGTCGAAAGCAGTGCCTTGCGGACCAAGAAACTGAGGCAGTTTGAGGCGTACGCCAGTGACGCAGTTAGCGCTGAAGGCCGTCGCCATCTTTGTCTGAGCGCTCGCAGCACCACCGCCACTACTACCACGTCTACGAGCGGTAAGTAGAGCCGCTGCTCACTCTTTGAGATGTGGCCTTCTCGCCCTCCCTGCCTGCTGCTGCCGCTGCTACTGCTCACCGCAGCAGCTGCAATCCGCTCGCCACTGTTTCGATCATCTGTGTTGTGTGTCTCTTTTTGCTTGACATAATGTTTGTTTTGCCGTACAATGCACTTGTCATTTACCGGTGGCGGCGGAGGAGGCGAGTGACCAGATTGCGCGCGCAAAAGCGGGCAATGGCAGAGGCACCTAGATTGGCACAGGCCCACTGACCAATAGTAATCACCCGATATTTTTTCCAATAACTAGCGCCAATTACCATTCACCCGACGGATGAGCTGCTGAATAATGGCGACTCTGGGTTCCAGGAGCTGCAGATGCCGCCGGAATATTTGAATGCTAGTGATGAGGCTAACGGCGACTCTAGGTCTTTTGGGGAAGAGGGGGAGAATGAAAGGGGCAAAGAGGATGAAGAAAGCAAAAAAAGTGGTGGTGGCGACCAGGACGAAGACGGCGGAGGGAGTGGCTCCGGATATGAAGATGACGACGGCGAAGACAGTGGAGGAGGTGGCGACAATGACGACGATGACAGTATCAGTGAGACCTCTTGCGACTCCGACATTTCAAGTCTGAGCGGCGAGAGCTGGAAACCCATTTCCAATCACATCAAGTGGGTGCAGCTGCAGATGGAGAAGAACATCAGACCGAAGGACATTATCCTCCAGCTGACCGGTCAGGTGGTGCCCGATGAGGTGGACGACATGACGGCGCTCAAGTTCATCATTCGCTTCCTCGACTCGCGCGTTCGCCCGAAGCTGTCGCACATTAACACCATCGACGACGCCGTCTCCCTCATCAACCGTTCATCGAACATAATCGTTCTCACGGGAGCTGGCGTTTCCGTCTCTTGCGGCATTCCCGACTTTCGCTCTCGCAATGGCATTTACGCACGACTCAGCAAGGACTTTCCTGACCTGCCGGATCCTCAGTCTATGTTTGACATTCATTACTTCAAGCGTAACCCCTATCCATTCTTCAAGTTTGCAAAGGTTAGTGGTGGTGATGGTCACTGGGGAATACTGCTGTGTGCTAATCGATTTGTTGTTCAATTTTTCTCAGGAAATCTACCCCGGACAGTTCTCTCCCTCGCCGTCTCACAAGTTTATCCGATGCATCGAGCAAAAGGGCAAGCTCCTTCGCAACTACTCGCAGAACATTGACACGCTGGAGCAGGCGGCCGGCATTGAGAAACTGATCACCTGTCATGGCTCTTTCGCCACCGCTTCTTGCACCAATTGCCGATTTCAAGTGGACTCAAATGCAATCAAGGAGGACATCATTGCACAGCGCATTCCGCTCTGTCCCCGATGCAACACCAATGACGATGCAGCGGACTACAGTATTATGCCTGTCATGAAGCCCGATATTGTCTTTTTCGGTGAAGGGCTCTCCGATGAGTTCCACAACTCGATGACTTTGGACAAGGATCAGTGCGATTTGCTGATTGTCATTGGCTCCTCTCTCAAAGTTCGCCCCGTCGCCCTTATACCCAATTCAATTCCCGATGACTGTCCTCAGATTTTGATTAACCGCGAGCCTCTTGACCACCTGAATTTTGACATTGAACTACTCGGCGACTGTGATATCATTGTGAAGTACCTCTGCGAAAAGTAAGTCTTTAGAGATGTTATGAATTTTTTCATATTCATTCTTTTCTTTTTCTTCTTGGCAGACTGGGAGAGGAGTGGACTGAGAGTTGCTTTGGCCCCAAGGAAGCAGCTGGTACTTTTGAAACTAGCGAGGCAGCGATTAGCAAAACCGAGGATGGTAAATAGAATTACTTTTTTTGATTGCCTTTATTAATCACAGCTTTTGACATTTACAGAACTACCATTCAAGTTCACCGCCCCAAACCGATACGTTTTCAAGGGCGCCGAACTTTCTTTTTATGATAATGACAACGATGACGACGACGAGGAAGTCGACGACGTGAATGAAGAAGACCAAGATAATCAAAATGATAGTGAAAATGAAAGTGAGATTGAAAATAGTACCAATGGTAGCAACAACCTGAACGCCACCTCAGATGAGAGTGTCTCGCTGCAGTCCAGCTTTGAGACTTCAGTCGCTGACACTTCATCATCCTCTTTTTCGATGAACCGCACTGACGATGGTAACTTCTGCCTGAAGTTTAAGACGCTAGACGCAGAGAACGTGCCGCCAGCGGAGCATGGCATCGGCAAGTCCATTACCTCGCCACTTCATTCATCTTTCGAGTGCAGCAACACCACCACCACCTATCCGTCCCGCGAGAAGAAGGAAAAGCGAGAAAGCATTGAAAACTATTCTCCCAACTCTTTCTAACTCGTTAGCTACTCGTATGCTCAATTTTGAATTTAGCAACCAATTCAACAATTATTACTACTATACCAACAATTATTAGGCTTCAGGTTCCCACAGTACTAGGGTTTTCAAGAAATTATTCCCCTTCTTTCTTTCTCTTTTTCCCCATTGATAAGAACTGCTGCAATACAATTTGTACATACACCCACTGCTTGACCCTTGACCAGTGAACGATTGATTTCTTAGCGTTCACTTCTTCTTCTTACACCTAGTATAGGTAGTCTTATGTAACAAAGATACTGTTTTTTCATTATGTAAATAGAATACAACAATACTAAATATAATTGATGATTACTAAAAAGTGCACCGTTTATTGGATTGTTCTTTCAAAGCTTTTGCTTCGAAAATAGAACTTGCAAATCGTATAACTCAAGTGAGTTGCTGTTAGTAGGAGATTACTATTTGTGTGTTTAGGCAACAGCCAAGTCATTACACTACAACACTTGCACCAAGATATTTTTTCAATTTTCGACAGTACTAGTTTCAACAGCTGGGGATGGCCCAATCACTGGGCACTGTCTTCATTCTTCTGCTCCTCTTGCTTGATGCCGCTCAGCTTGATCGACATGTCAGAGGACGGGGAAGTGGAGGTTCCTTTCGTCATCGCCACCGACACCACCAACGTGCCAGGAACGCCCTGAACATGCGATCAGATGGGCAAGATTTTTCCCAATTTTTAGACAATGTTGAAGATGAACCAATCAATCATACCGACAAAAACAACAGGTTCGTTTTTATTTTCCTTGAAAACTGACCAGTTCAACTTGCTTATTTTGCTTGTTTAGTGGCGACCTTCCAGCAAGCATGCTGGAGATTACAAGTGCGCCAGTTCAAATTACTACAGAAGATGATGAAGAAGAGGAAGAAGATGACTTCATTACTGAAAGTTATGAAGTTGAAGAAACATTCGAACAGCCAAAAGTGACACAACTGCGCTCAGTGCCTCCCTCCACACTTTCCCCGGCTGGAAAAAAGTTTCTTGAAGTTTTAAACAAGAAGAAGAAATACTGGCTCTCACTTGGAAGTCTGTTGGCAGTTGTAGGCGGAGTAGCCCTCTATTTTAATTATAGAAATACAACAAATCTTAACCAGACAAAGGGGCCAAATGAAGAGGATGTGACCACCTCAACTAGCGCCAGCACGCAAAGCATCATCTTCACCACTCTCCTCGTCGTCCTCCTGGTCGTCCTCGGCGGCACCGGCTACTACATCTGCTGCTCACACGCCAATGAGGCAGATGGAGAGTCAGTGGGTGGCGAAGAAGGCGGTGCTGGTGGCGTTGCTGGTACTGTTGCTGGTACCACTGACTATGCCAGCAGCCTTCAAACTGCTGAAGGAGCATTGAAGCACAAAAGCTCCTCAGCAAAAGCGGCTGCAATTGCAATGGGCGGCACTGGCGCTGCCGCCAGTGGTCAGCCGGCTGGAAAAAGCGGCGGAAAAGTGGCTTCGAAAAAGTCCTCAAAGATGCCGCCTTCCTCAAGCACCGCATCCACGGTGACCAGCAGCACCACTCCAGCAAGTACTCCCTTCTCCTCCACAGCTGCATCTCCCACTACGTCGTCTCTCTCGAAAGGACCTCCAAGCGCTAAGGTGGTGGCAGCAGTTAGTGAAGGCAAGAGCAAGCTACTGAGCAGCAAATTGAAGAGCAGCAAACCAGCAAAGGGCGGCAAGGTTTAGGGCACGCCCATTTCTCGTTCCTCCTCACACACATACCAGTGATTTATAACATTTACCACTCATCTTCTCTTTTCGTTTATTAGACGGGGGTTTAAAATGTACAAAGTATTGCCTTATTTCCACGCCTCAACTCCGTGTTTGTCCTTGATTAGGTAGAACTCATCGACGACCTTTCCGCCCTTATCCTCTGACAGCTGCTGAATGTGAACGTGCGAGTGATTGATGACTTTCATGTAGGTGAATCCTNGTTTATTAGACGGGGGTTTAAAATGTACAAAGTATTGCCTTATTTCCACGCCTCAACTCCGTGTTTGTCCTTGATTAGGTAGAACTCATCGACGACCTTTCCGCCCTTATCCTCTGACAGCTGCTGAATGTGAACGTGCGAGTGATTGATGACTTTCATGTAGGTGAATCCTAAGTTTTTGATTTTGTTAGTTATGTCCCACAGTTTAAAGAGTGACTAAATTTTACCGTAATCTTCGATGATGAAGGCACTGTAATGACTTCGTTTAGCATGAATTTTAGTATGAAGCTCTCTGTTGCCGGCACTGCCTGTTGTTATGTGAACGGGGGCTTTTGGATTGTGGTAGGGATTGTGCGGATCAGTGGTGCCGCTGTGAATCTTGTTGTTGTAAATGGGCAGTATTCTCTCTGAAAACAAAAAAGTATTATTTTTCAATACATCAGAATGATTTCTTTTACTCACCGTAGTTGTGCTCATGACCGTAGAACTAAATGGGAAAATGAAAGTTAGGCAATAACGATTTTAATTTGTGCGCCAGTTTACCTGAAGATCGACTCCAGCATCGTAGAAGAGCTGTTCGAATCCGGGCCAGTGGTGAGTGTGGTTTCCAGTTCGCAGCAGATCGACGACATGCGTCTGCACGTACATCGGTCGGTGGCCGATCCTAGTGTACGGAAACGAAAAAGATAAAGAGTTTTATTGAAATCTCTTCTTTTGAAAAGGCCACCTACGTGATAATCCAAGGGTGCTTGGCTCTGTTCTCCGGCTTGTTGGCCTCCTCCAGGTCCTTCTTGAGGAAGTTGTACTGCGTCATTATCTGCTCATGGCCGAACTGCGTAAAGTAGTGCAGCTCAGTGCTGAACGCCACCAGGTGGACCGGACCGATATTGTACGACCAAAAGATGTTGTTCACCTCGTGGTGTCCCTGAGAGTGCATCGAAAAGCGATGACGGTAGTTGGAGAAGTTGTACGTGTGCTCGTGGTTGCCAGGACACGTTTGGTAGGGCAGGTAGGCGGCAATGGGCTCAATCTGACGCATGAACTCATCACCGACGAGGGCGTTGTCAGTGTGCAGATCTGGGAGATTGGGAAAAGTGGGAAGATTGGTTAACCCAAAACCAAGTAAACTACTACCGAAGTCACTGCTCACCGTAGGCCATGTCACCCACGTGGAGGAGAACATCGTGATCGCCGCGTTGCACCTCCTCTGCCAGACGACCAAGCGTGCGACCGTTGATGTTACCAAGGTCTCCGTAGACGACGAACTTCGGACTCCACGACTCATCGCTGGGCAGCGTCTTGAAGTGGTACAGCGGACTCCAGCCGTCAGCGGAGCCGCAGTGGTAGGCGTACCGACTGGCGGCCGTCAGATTGGTCAGGTACACTCGGTGAATGAACATGAAGCGCTTCAGGTGGCCGCCGTCGGTGAACTTGTGGTGCGCTCCGTGAGCCACCAGGTTCAGTGCGTCGCCCAGGCCGTACTTGCAGGTGGACTGCTTCGTCTCGTTGAACGTTGTCCACGTCACCACCATCTCGTTGGTGTTTGCTAGGTTTTGAAAGGAAGGTAAGGAGTTACTGGGAAATTAGGTTATTGGAACAAAAACACCGATTGCACTTACAACCAAGCGCCAGATGCAGCTGTTCGGGTTGCACGTGAAGGGCATGCCAGTTTTGCGCCGTCTGGGCGACGGTGACCAGCAAGGCTAGGCCATAAAAAATGAAAAAGAACTTCGTGGACATCTTTTAGCGAATGAACGAGTCAATGTGTAGGTGTCATGACCAACTTTCGCTATTTATACTAAACCAAGAAGGAGCTGATAAATTGGCGTGGAACAAGACAAGTGGCAGAGATGATCATCTTTTAAATAAAACAGATCAATTAACTTGCCAACATCTTTGCACCTGGACGAGTTCCCATTGCGCTTATTATTTATTTATACATTGGCAGACATAAGTGCCAAAGATTTTTGTCGTGCTGTGTTTAATTTGCGTTCAAACCAAGAACCAGATATCACCTGATGATAGTTACTCCAGAAGTAGCTCCGGTTGGTGATAACATGTCTGCGTGAGGCAATTGACAAGATGGCAAGATTGATTATCTCTAAAATCTCTAAGTTGTAGCATCAGGCAACTCTAGAAACTGAAGTTCAAGGTTGTTGAAAAACTTTCCGAAACTTTCTGAAAATTTTCATCGGCTGAAAGTGGTGGTAGTGGCAACACCACGTTTTGCTGATAAGAGCTTAGCGTTGACAGTGCCAAAACTGTGGTGATGTCACTAGCAGTCGTAAGAGCAGCGCAGCTTGAGCGCGCTCAAAAGGCTGCGCTCATTTCTATCCCGCTCATTTTCGCTCGAGTTTTTGCTGCGCCGACATCGCCTTCGCGTTTCGTCACTCGCTTTCACTCAAACTCGCTCACTCCGCCAAATTCTCAAGATGACTGGCCGCGGTGGCAAAGGAGGCAAGATCAAGTCCAAGTCCGTTTCCCGCTCGTCTCGTGCCGGCTTGCAGTTTCCGGTCGGGCGCATCCATCGCCTGCTTCGCAAGGGCAACTTTGCCGAACGCGTTGGCGCTGGCGCTCCGGTGTACCTCGCTGCGGTCCTCGAGTACCTTGCCGCTGAGGTGAGTTGACTGAGTTTTCAGTAACCGTTTCTCATTGATCCATTGCCCCCTTAACAGGTTTTGGAGTTGGCTGGGAACGCCGCCCGCGACAACAAAAAAAGCCGAATCATTCCGCGCCACCTCCAGCTGGCCATTCGCAATGACGAAGAGCTAA